CCATCCATCCATCCATCCATCCATCCATCCATCCATCCATCCATCCATCATATCTATCTATTTATCTCTACCTATCTGATGATTATGTACCATGAATTATCAGTACGTGTTTACTCTTAGTGATCACACAGATTTTCAGCAGGATGGTCTATCCCCAACCTGGTCCTCTAAGTTTTCCAATGGGGTACCCACTGATGCTGTAATTGAGTCCATCCAGCTTGCTGCTGGTTGTCCTTCTTTTCCTGTCATCTTTCCCACAGACACTCACACATGCTATTTGAAGAAATGTGAGTGCAAATTGAACAAATGGGTTCCCCATCCTAGGCAGGAACAGTACGTACAAGCATGTTGGAGACAGTGACACATCCACATACATGAGGTAAAAAGCTGGGACTCTATGGTGCACTTTATAATTTGGGATACTACTAATACAACTTGCCACTGGAATATATGCTATTAATTTATCTTTTCAAGTGTTAACCAAGTAGGATCAGCACTTATCTTTTACTCCCTCAAAAGATGATTTTACAGAGCTAATCCTTTAATCTTAGTATCTGATTCATAAGTCTGCTGTTCTTTTTGGAAGGATGCAAAAATGAATTTTCTGCATACCACTCACTTCTAATCCATGCTAGCTTGCTCTGTATTTCTCTCATGAACTCTCGTCAATTCTTTAGACTATTAGCTTTCCCCTCCATGTACAGAAGGCACAGATATGTTCTCACCTGAATCAACATTTTTGAACAAATCATGGGGGCAGTTATTCCCTCCATGAGTGCAGAATTACATATTTTGTAAATACCCAGAAAGAGTTTATCTTTATTCTGCAGTTGCTGATAATCTCTGTGGCTGTTTCTGTCCAGGTTTTATTGGATTTTATACAGCTGATAATATTTTATCTTCTACTTTTGTTCCTGCATAGCTTTTCACAAAGACTGAATATCAGAGTTTTATAGTCAATAGGGAAGAGCCCAGCTGCAGAACTTGCAGAACTGGAAAATGGGGGTTTCGTTGTATAAATCTTGCAGTTCTTTGCATTAGGCTGCACACACTTTTACTGAATACATCATTATCAAATTAAAACATTATTTTCTTGAAATCCATAAAGAAAATTGATTAAATAAACACAGAAGATTATGATAACCTTTATTACAGTCACTGAGCAGTCCGAAACTGAAAGATATTCTTAACTATCCTCTGGAGATTTTATTTAAAATCCCATTTATATTCAAGAAAACAATGGATAATTATTTCTCTAGGTTTACTAGAGGAAATAAAGTCCAGAGGTAATTGTCACCTGCTCAACCCTTTGCTCCAGACAGGATTTATAGGAATATTAGCAGCAGCATTTCTGACATATGGGTGTCTGGGTTCTGGATAAATATCTCCAACAGAAGAAAATCCATTTTCTCATGGAACTACTAGATCTACTGCATGGGCCAAATGTGCTGTTTATTGTCATACTTCTAGAAGTAGATGGGGAACTGAAACTGTCAGATAATGGTTTGAATAAGGTCACACTGTCAGTTCATTGCTAACATGACATTTGAACCACCTTGCATTTGCTTCCCCGTGCCTGTATTTCTACTTTTGCACGCTATTGCCATCATCAAACCTGTTGTCATTTTAATGAGACAATATTTAGCATCCACGTTTCTTTCTCTTACCTACAGTGAACCGAAATCGGCCCATCTTGTCCAAACTGCTCTTTTGTTTTATGAACTTGGCCGATGAAATCTATAAACCCTTCTCCCGATTTTGGCACTCCTTGTTCAGGCCAGTCAGTGAACTGGAATTGCCTCACTGTTCGGGACTGGCCATCCTTGAATGAAAGGCAGACATATCAGATGGGAAAGTGCAGCAGCAGAAAACAAGATATTTAAAATTCTTATTTAGATTTTGAACAATAAATTGACAAGAAAAGTGACCTGCAATAAAACAAAGATGCCTTTCCTGCAATCTAACTGCAGTCATGATGAAGTTTGCCTTTTGCTCCTTTTTTGCCATTAACAGAACCACAATGACACAAGAGTGCAATTTCATTAACCACAGTGATACTCACATTATTCTCTGCACTGGAGAGGATGTTTCTGACATTTAAATCCTGGAAAAACGAAGTCTAAGGACAGGGAAACTGGCCTGGAGGAAACTTCGATTTTGTAGCAATGCCAACAAACTCAAAAACATCTTTGTCTGCTGGTCACTACTGAGTCCTCCTTGGCACCCTTTTAAATGTGTTCCTCTGTTGGCCTAGCCAAGGCATTTGCATGTTTGCTTCTGCTGTGGAAAGCATTCTTTCGTTCCTAGAGTGTGTTCATGCTAATTTTTTTCTGCTCTGGTGCATCCACATAGCATCTATCTCTCTATCAAAGCAGCATGAAAATGACAGTGAAGCCAGCCTAAAATATACTCCAATATTCTTATTCAAGCAATTGCTGAAATAATTCCAGTTCTGGACCCACATAGTAAACCAAGATATGAAAAATCTTCTTTGCAGGCACACAAGAGAAACAAAGTGAACTCATATAATTCGAGCTAGCCCTGTAAATTAACATTGTTATTTGCTTGCAGATATCTATCTACAGTAATAATTTGAGTCATTTTGATCGTGTAAAGAAAGTATAAAAGGATACCAACTTCCTTCTTCCAGCTTACAGAAGCCTTAGTATATGGCTTCTTGGAGGCAATTCAAATTTGCCACAAGTGAGTGGTTCTTTATAGCCTGGTCTTTTGATTAGTATTGTAAATCATGAGTACAGTTCATAATAGTGGCCTTTGTGACATGGACACCTGCCTAATTAGGGCTGTCTTTACATGTCTCACTTCCTAACCATCCACAGGGCTGCTATAATTTTTGATCTCCATAAAATCAATTAAGTGACCCAGCAATATGAACTCGATCATATCAAAATGAAGACATCAAGTCCCTTATAATTTGTAGCATTATCTTGAAAAAAGTAATGGTTATAGTTAATTGCAGCAAGAGAACAGATTATGTATCAAAGGATTTGATCAACCTGCCTCAACTGCTGTGCTGACTTGTCTTCGCATATTGTCAGACTATCGAAACTGACATTTAATAGAAATGACACAAATTGAACTATTGCTGTTAACTTTCATGCCTTCTGGATATCTTCTACATTCTGAATGCATCTACTTTCTTGCCATGGTAGGAGAATCAGCAAATGCCATGTCACTGTGCCTGTAAGCTATAATTGAGGCATGGTGCATGAGAGGAGGAGGGGAAAACTACTGCTAGATGCCAATTGCTTAAAATGGCACTTTCTGCAGAATGAAACCAATGAAGAATCTCAGTGATGATGGGAATTCCAATAAAGCAGATTGGAAGCTGGAGGCAAGGGAAAAAAAAAAGATTCTTCTACCAAAGCATTCAGTGATGATTGCCTTGACACGGAGGTGAATATAACTTGCCTCAAATAGAAAAGCAACACAAAAATGATACCTTGCACTTCATGTCATTATCATTCAAATTCTGCAGTATGTTATTCAGCAACAATGTGTGCATGGAAAGGGAGCCATTATGATCTCTGTAATCAGTAGAGCCCAATGAAAAATGAGAAGTGTGGGTTACTCTGATACAAACTTATAATTGTTTGGTCCTATCTACATCATAAAGTCCATTATTCACCTGGTAGCAGTTCACTTAGGATAACTTTTCAGTTCATTAAAAGTGCTTGGTTAAATGGTACACCAAAGGATTTGGGACTAGTGTATAATACAAATGGCCAAATCCATCCAAAGTTATTGCACTGAAGTACAAACCCAACTTATATTATAACAATGTGCCACATCAGCTAAAAAGTTTAAGGACACAGTGCACTAATGACTGCAGATTAAAGACATTTGATTCTTGTGAATAATTTAGGACAATTTGGTGGGCAATTTAATATCTACCATCTTCTGAGAAATTCTCATACCTCAAAAAGCCAGAGTAACAATCTATCCATCTTTAATTACTTACATGCTTTTAAAACTTGTGTGGTGCCAGTAAATTAGCGCAAGTGCATAAGAAATTGACATTGTTAAATTTACATCCTGAAATTTAATGAGATGCTAACTTTTAGTAGTCACCAAGCAAATGCCAAGATTATATTAATTAATTTGGATGAGATCCTCAAGAACTATAGAGGAGTTTAGTTCTACCTGACTCTTTGACTTATGAGGCCACGTCATCAACAGAAAAATAACTGCAAATTATTGCTATGTTAATAGCAATATTGACAACATGCACATATACCTGATTCTCTTTAACAAGTAGCCTGATGAACTAGGAGGTTATTTGAAATTTAGTTCAAATTTTGGTTTGGATTGGTTTGGCCAACCAAATGCCTTGGGAGAGGCTATGCACATGACAGAAAGTGCTTTACTATTAAAATGTTGTGTGCAGCTACTCCAGTTCACAGATCCTGACAGCTTAGAAGGAATCTTAGTTGTAAAGACATGGGAAGTTATGTCTAAATTTTCCCCCCAAATACAGACTGCATCACAGGGTTAATACAGAGGTCCACCTTAGATGGAGCTATTTTCACAATGGCATTATATTCTTCAGCTATCATTTCTCGAGAAAGAACTGACAATTCAGTTTTATGGGAATGCTGTTGCTATTTGTAACACATGTACAAACCAGAATAATGATCCCAACCATGATGTACTGCTTTTCTTCTGCATATATTTGGAAAGGATATGTTGATCCTTTATGTTTATGCAGAACTTTGTGTATCTCATGACTGCGCTAGACAAATAGTGAAGTCTATCCTCAATCCCTAGCTCTAGGATGGCAAGGAGACTGACTGAATAATTCTTGTTGGGAAAATCTACAAAGTTAGAATGTGACAGAAAAAAATTTCTGAAGGTTGGGAAAGGTATTATCATCATGTACTTCACCCAGACTTGAAGGTGCAGAATAATTATGTAACAATGGTTAATTTCACTTTTCTTACCACAGAATTTTGGTTACTTGCTTTAGCATAAAATTAATGTGTGAAATATGCATTTTGCAATGGCCCCTTCTGGAGGTGCAACTTTCTGGATAAAGACACCTGTGGTAGGATGTGAGACACTTTCATTCAAAACTTTGATCTGGAGATGATTCAGTTAAATCATCCCCTTCGAACTGAATCTTCATATTGAAAGCCTTCAAATTACTTTTGCAATTCAGTGGTCTTTGGCACATGCACACCTACATGTTCATCAACTGCAGATAACTAAATTTGCATACTCCGACATGTTAATACCTTTGTAGAATACCTTTTAATATGGTCTGGACCATTCAGTGAAATATTGCTCCTGTCGCAGTTAGTGCCCCAAATGCAATACTTTACATTTTCCCAAATGAGCCAAGTCGAAGGAAAATAGAGGGTTATATTCTACAAAGTACAGATATTAAATCAGGTTAAATTTGTTTTTAACTGGATAGTCACATCCTGAGTTCTGCTGAGAACTTTCTTCTCAATTTATACAGATAACATGCTCCATAAGAATCATGTTCTGATGTGATCCTTACTACTGATTTGAGGAATGTGATAAGTAGATCTGCATGACTTGATTTTTTAAGTCAGAAAGTATACACAAAGGTAAACAAATGTAATGGCATCAGGATTTGCCCTGCTGAACCTTGCTGAGTTTTCACAATGTGGTCATGCCAAGAGCTGCCTGCAATGTCAGGGGTGTCCATTGACCATATCCTGCTTTATATGGCGTGTTGAGGGCTGTGGTCCAAAATGGATGGGAACACTGCATATTTTGGGAAGGAGCTTTAGGAATTTGAAGGAGTAAAACGGGTGTCTTAATTGGCTGCAGGTCTTCAGTCACCCACTTCATCCATTAAACCCCTTAAAAATAATACCAAATTTGGGCCCTACTCTGGAGGGCTGTCACAAAAGGGAGGCTGAAGGCCACACCTGGACCCCAAACGGCACTTTTTCCACTCCTGAATTAAGTCTTAATTATTAAAGCTTTCCACAAACTTTATGAACATATACTAAAAGCCCACAAAGTAGTTTTATCAACAATTAATTCTCTTGTAGTAGTTCTCTAAAATGTTAGTGTAATGGACAATGTAGTAATAACACTTTATATTCATGTAACACCTTTCAGGTGATCAGAATGACTCTCATGTATAATTTCAGTAACAAAAGACACTCAAATATTTGGCATTAATAGTGTATGTCTGTCACTGCAAACTTCCATTGCAGCTGCGGCTACAAAATATGTAATCACCATTTTCAAAAGCTTGTAATGGGATGTGTGTCCAAAGGATTGATTTCATTATATTTTCAGGGCAATTAGGACTGCAACCTTTTAAAAAAAAAGCTAATTTAAACACTTTTAATGACCATTTATTTTAGTGAGAGAATGAAGCAGATGCCAGGTTCCAGCACTAAGAAAAATATATCTGAGCTTGATTAAACTCATTTATCTGGGACCTTATTCTACAATAGCCACCTATATGAAAATCTCTCCCACTGAAATGAAAAGACTTCAAAGGCTTGACTTTGGCTAGGGTATTGTGCCTCTTACTCCTTTTGCCAACCAAAACTCTATTCTCTAAGCTTGAAATGGTGGCTGCATGAATCTCTCATGTGGCTGCCTTCTTTGGGTCTCTACAATCAACTTTAACAATAATAGTAAGAGATTTTTTGAGGCAAGGAAACTGTAGAATTTGAGGATGCTAAGTTGGATTTTAAATGGGAAGTCATTTTTGTCCCTTGTAAGCAGAATACTCTGCTAAGTTTCTCTAATCATCATTATTGCTACAGGGCTTCCAAAGATAGAGAAGGGTAAGGATTTATCCTGCCATCAAGTGTGAAGTATTACACACAAATCACAGCTTGAAAATGGCTAGAGCAGGGTCTATAAAAATGTTTATATACAGTTAATCTTATATCAGCAATGAACCTCTGACTTAGCCTTTCAGATAAGAAACGTAAAATGAAAATTAGCCAGTTGGGGTCATGGCTGTGTAGCTCTTCTCTGCAGACAGATTAGAAAGCTGAGGAATAAGCTATGCCAAGAATCAAATTATAATGTGCAAAGCTTGTCAAGCTTCCCTTAAGAATGCTATTTGCTCTGCAGTTTTTAAATCACACCACATTAACCTTCAAGCTCACACGACCTAAGGGCCGTTGCTGAACAGTTACATCTTTGCAGTCTTGGATGAAGATTCCTAAAAAAGTATTGAAAAATAAGCCCCACTGGGGGAGCAATGAAAAGGATGAATAGTAGCTAGGTCTTTTAATCAGTCAACTTCTTTCCACACCAAAACATTATATATATTTTTTCACACTGTTTGCTGATCAAATATTATGAATGAGAATAATTCACTTTCTGAAAATATATTTTAGTGTTTTGGAAATTGCTGAACTGCCTAGAGCTGAATACTGACCATTTAACAGCATTAACTGTATGGCCTGAGCTCAGAAAGCTACCAGTCCTTCCTTTATAGTCAATTGTGGCAGTGCTGCATTATTTTTATGGCATCCCAGGGCCTTTGGCTTCTGAAATGAAGCAGTGGTCTAATTTATTCCCCTCATCTGAGACTTCAGTGCTTCAGTATGTCTAGTTCTCCTTATCTCATTCATCTAAGTGTCTGACACAAGTAGTGAGATTCCTTCATATGTATCTGGATAGAATTGAAAAAAAATATACTGAAAAAGATGAAAGACCTATGGGCTAAAATGGTACAAAACTAATCCTGGGGGTCTACTTTCCTTAAAGAATCAGCATCTTGATTCACAGCTTTGGGATGCTATTGGACCCATCACTGTCTGGTGAACTGCAGATAATAGCTGTGACCTGGCAGTGCCTTTTACAAGCTTCTTTCTGCTTGTAAATCATCTACAACTATCTGGAGGACGATGTACAATGGGCTCAGTTGTTTCCTCCAAAGTGCATTTCTGAAATACCCTCTGCATTGGACTGCCTTCAAAGATGAACTGAAAGTACAGCTGGTATCAACTGAATCACATAGATGCTGATGAATGTCAAGAACTCCAAATACTTAATACCGCACAGGCTGCAATAGCTTTTAACTGTCCGAAACTCTAAATGACTTGGAACCAGGTTATTGGAAGGATAACTTTCACTCATGTAATACTGCCAATAGATTAAAATTGATCTCAGTAGTCACTCTCCCATATATAATGCTAAAACTATCCAGGCTGGTATGCACACAAAATAGGTTGCTCTCAGTGGGGATCCCAAAAATATGGAGTCGCTTTCGTGTCAATTTTTGCTTCACCTATAGTTTATTGTCCTCTCTCCAGTATTGCTTTTGACCAACATCTGACTTAACTTATGCACTAAAATGAGAACAGTTTCAATTTTGCTAATGTGGCTTTTTAAACTTATTTCTATATGGCTTTATAAGGACGTTGCTTTAAAAATACTTTGAAAAAGTAATATGAAAGAGAGGGAGTAAATGCATTTCCTTGACAATACCTTGTCAGCTTCTTTGAGATGAACATAAAATGGGGGCCCATGTTCAACCAACCAACCTCCCTCCCTTCCAATATGCCAGTTTCCAGGGCTGGCATGATTCTTCCCCTGTCCCAGAGTGATCTGGCAAAACTAGGGAATGCCTCCTGCTTTCTGTGTTGTCTAGATGGAACATTTACGAGGCTGCAGTTCTAATGATATATAGCTAGGTTACTGACAGTGTGTGTGTGGGGGGGGGGATCCTAAGAATATTTCCATTCCTATGGGGGTGAAGATATTCACTGATCAGATACTGGGACACAAATGTTAGTTGCTAGACACATTAGAAAGTACAGTTAGTGAAAAGCAAAACAAACATGCATCACTACAAAATGTAAGGCATTCATAACATGTTGTCTTACCCGGGCATCTGTGACCTTGAATTCTCTTAGGATGTACTGTGGCATATTATACTCTGCCATTGGATCGACCACAAAGTATTGATATCTGGCTGAGCGCTCTGCTGGCCAATACTGGTGGCATTTTTCCTGTAAAAGCAAAACATTTCAATTATTTCTGTCCAACCCTATCTTCCAAGGAGGTACCTTTGTTCTCTAGAAAAGACAGCTTTAAGACAGTTATGAGATCTGAAGACTTGTCATATCAAAGTTTCATGGTGTTCTGTTTCTCAAATAGATTCTTCTGTGAAGACCTCAGACACCATGTTTCTCCCTAGCTCTCCAAAAGTTTAAACAGCTTTCTCAATGTTATATTTATTTAAGGAATTAAGAAAGATAATTGTTTATTAGCACTTTTCTGAGCATACCTGCCCTCCTTTTGCTTTTTAATGGGCTTCTTTCCAGTTCAGGTGAAAATATAATCTGTTTGTTTTCTTGACAAATAATTCTTTATCCATGCAATTACTTGGAACACAACAATCAAATGAACAATGGGCAGAAATGATCAAGTAAATGCAATCTACTATTTTATTAACTTTTAGGTTTGGGGTTACAAAAAAGAATGAGGTATCTCTGTGTATAAATCCTAGTACTTCTTCTTGAAAAGTGAATCTGTTGACACATCATCCGCAGTCCATCTGTCAAATGTTACTAATTCTGGTGTGAAATATGTTTCCTATGATTTCTATTATTTGAGATGAATTTCTGATTTGCCTTTTCAAAATTCATCTGCACTGAGTGCTTGGGATGATGTTCAGGAAATAATCTGGAAAGTACTCTTAACATATGTTCACATCAAACATCTGGAAGCAATACAGCTTTTAGAAGTACTACTAGCTATGCTACCAAACCCCCTGAAAACACTATTTGTACACATGTTGGCTTGATTTATTTGTTGATGTGTGAATGATTGTTGTTATTTCTTCTTAATACCTACTTGGAGATGCTGATTCTCAAAGTCTTGATGATTTTACATGTAACTGGTGTCCAAACAAAATAAGTACATAAATAAAGATATCAGCTACTATGATACTTCAAAAGACAGCAGTTCTATCTCAATTTCAATGAAGAGCAGAATAAGGAGGTAGTATTTCAGAACAAGAACCTGGGACAGAATATGATCGTGAATTCAAGATTCCACAATATGTTTGTTATAGGAAAGCAAATATTTGGCTGAAGGCAAATATTTGCACGTGCAAAACAATTCTTCCTGGAAATACCTGCGTATAGCAAAGAAAAGTTAGAACTGCCTTTTGATGATGAATCTGAATAGCACTGCTAACTCATGTGGGAATGCTGGACAATCATATTTAATGGTTTCAAACAGACACTGGCTGCAGTGGGAAGAATGTGACAAAAAATAGATGGAGCTGTATCATGCCTGTCTGAGGCTAGGGTTTTGTTTTGTCTTGGTTTGGGGTGAAGGTAAATTTGTATTTTTTAGAACTGAATTAAGCCTAGGTAGCCCACCACTGTCATATTCTTTAATGCTGTTATCAGCTAAATTCTACTGAGCTCATCAAGTATGCCAGATTATATAGATCAATCGTCAGTGTCTTGGTCCTTCCACTCTATACAAAAATTTGGTCGAGAGCCATTAATGGTACAGTATTTGGAGTACGCAAACATTCAGTGACTTACCTCATAACCTGTACAACCTGTTACAAAAATACATCTTTAAATCCTTAAAGACGACCAGAAACTAACATGTTACCTCAACTTCTAAGAGTTTTGGGGTCTAAAATGGATCCTATAAACTTTCCTGGAAAATGATGTGACATTACTTAGTTTAAAAGCATGCTCACCTACCCAGGAAAAAAAAAGTAAGCAGGCATAGAAAGACATGTCCTGCAGGGGGCCATGGAAGAAGAGGAGAGCATTCTGGTAAATCAGTGCTATGTAGCATCAATGCTATGTCCCCCACAACAGCCTTTATAAGCTTGTCAACCAGGGGCATCTGTAGGGTGGGTCAAACATCACACATAAAAGGGTGGAGCTTTGCTTGCATGGGAGTGGCTTCCATCTTGACTATTTTTACTGTTCCGGTGGATACCTCATTGCTAACAGCTCTTCTGACCATTCCTGCTGGCTGCTGCTCTTAAATGCCAGGTCAGTTTGTAATAAGGCCTCCCACATCTGCAATTTGATCGTGGATGAGAGGGATGACCTGGCATGTATTACTGAGACCTGCCTGGGCCTGGAAGGGGAAGTGGCCCTTTTGGAGATATGCCTGGCTAGGTTTTGAGTGTGGCATTACCTGGGGCAGGAGTGGCAGTGTGGTGGTTGTCAACTGAGAATCGCTTACAGCTTTCAGGGGCACTGCCCCGCAGGTCACCGGATGTGAGACCCTGTTCATTAGGTTGGGCTCTAGGGAGCAGGTGGAATTGTTGCTGTTGTACCAGCCTCCCTGCCGCACAGCAACCTCCCTGCCTGAGCTCCTTGACTCCATCTCTGGGTTGGCTGAGGAGTTCTCAATGCTTATGGTCTTGGGGGACTTCAATTTGCCTTCCCTGGGAGTGGGGTCTGAGGTGGCTCAGGAATTCATGGCCATGACAGCCATGGACCTATCCCAGGACAACCACAGCCCGACATGGGACAGCAGTCACACACCAGATCTGGTGTTCCTCTTGGAGCAGTGGCTATGTGATCTGCAACTGGGGGAGCTTTTGGTGTCCCCCTTATCATGGTCAGATCATGTCCTGATTACCATAGGATTCTCTGGCATCACTATCCACTGCTGGGAGGCAGGACCCATTAGATTGGTCCATCCCCAGTGACTGAAGGACCCAAAGGGGTTTCAGAGGGAGCTGGGGGTTGTTCCTGCTGGTCTGCTGCATGGTCCATCCAAAGCCTTGGTTGCTGCTTGGAATAAAGGGGAGGCCGAGGCCTTGGATCAGATTGCACCTATGTGACCTCTCCCTTCTTGGGGATCCCGCCACTCTTCATGGTTTAGGAGAAGCTGAGGGAGATGAAATGAGAGAAGAGATGTCTAGAGTGATGCTGGTGCTCAGCTAAGGATGAACCTGACCAAACATGGGTTAGGGCCGCAATTAAGGCCTACCTCATGGTGGTAAGGGCGGCAAAGCGGCAATACTTCTCTGCCCTTATTGTGTTTACAGACTGTTGCCCCATAGCCCTGTTTTGGGTAAAATGAGCCCTCTTGGGTAAAGGGGGCCTGGGAAACCTTTTGCAGGGACATGTGGAAGAATTTGCTTGCATCTGTCAGACAAAATTGCTCAGATTCCCTCGCAGTTGGACACTGGCCTTGCCGCAGGTCGGGAGGAGATGCCTAGGGTGGAGTCTTGTCTGATTATCTGGGTACGGTTTGAACTACTGGACGTGAGGAACTGGACAGGGTCCTTAGGACTGTAAGATCAGCCACCTGCTCCTTAGATCCATGCCCCTCCTGGTTTGGGAAAGCAGCCCAGGGGGTGTTGTGTGAGGGGGTTCTAGCAATGGTGAATTCTTCCTTGAGTGAGGGTTGTTCCTTTATCTCTTAAGGAGGCCTTGGTTTGCCCCTTCCTCAAGAAGCCATTGCTGGACCCCACGAAACTGGACAATTTTCATCCAGTACCCAACCTTCCCCTTTTGGGGAAGGTGATCAAGAAGGTGGTTGTGCAACAGCTTCAGAGGACCTTGGATTAAGTGGATTATCTGGAGCCTTTTCAGTCAGGATTCAGACCTGGGTTTAGAACAGAAATGGCATTGGTCACGCTTTTAGATGATCTCTGGTGTGGGCAGGATGGTGGCTATGTGTCCATCCTTGTCTTACTTGACCTCTCGGTGGCTTTCAGTACCATCAACCATGGTATCCTTCTGGATAGACTTAGAGGATTGGGAGTGGGCAGCATAGCATTTTGCTGGTTCACCTTTCTCTGGGGTCGATTCCAGTCAGTAGTGATCAGGGAAGAGAGATCCCATCTTTGGCTCCTACTGTGTGGGGTGCTGCAGGGGCCAGTGCTCTCTCCTCTCCTATTCAACATCTACATGAGACCACTGGGTGAGGTATCATCAGTATGCTGATAATCAGTATGCTGATGATCGCCAATTATACATCTCTGCCCCTGGCGAATTAAGTGATGATGTTGACAACTTATCCTGGTGTCTGGAAGTAATGAGGGCTGGATGGGGAACAACAGACTTCAACTGAACCTTGGCAAGAGTGACTGGCTTTGGGTTTTGAGGCCCACCAGTTCTAGGACAATACCATCTTTGGTGATGGATGGAGTTATACTGCCCCTAACAGAACCTGTGCACAATCTGGGGGTCCTCCTGGACTCACAAATCCTGCTCAATGAGCATGTGGCAGTCATGTCTAGGAGGGCCTTTGCACAACTTTGTATTGTGCACCAGTTGCACCTGTTTCTAGATCAAGAGGCCCTACTCACAGTCACTCATGCCCTGATCACCTCCTGGCTGGACTACTGCAATGGGGCTGCCCTTGAAGGGTATCCGGAAACTTCAGCTGGCGTAAACCTCAGCAGCACAAGCAGTTATGTGTGTTTCTGGTAGAGCACACATTACATCTCTCCTTCGTGAGCTGCATTGGCTACCAGTTTTTTTCTGGGTCCAATTCAAGGTACTGATGATGACCTTTAAAGCCCTTCATGGCTTGGGACTGGGTTATTTGAGAGACCGCCTCTCCCCAATTTTGCCCATCCTACCAGATCCAGCAGGGAGGGCATGTTATGGGTTCCATTGTCTAGGGAGCTACATTTGGCAGGCACTAGGCGGCAGGCCTTTTCTGCTGTGGTGCCTGCGTTGTGGAATCTTCTCCCCCTTGAGGTGAGGTTGGCCTCATCACATCTGAGCTTCTCAAGACCTGGTTATGACAGCAGGCCTGGGGACCTCAGGGAACAGGTGAACTTGTGAGGTGGCTCCATTATTGTTAGCTTCCCATCTATTTTTTTTATTAGCTCTGTTTTTATAGTTTTTAATGTTTTTTAATAATTAAAAATGATAATGGTTTTAGGTATTTATTGTTTTAGCTTGTTGTATGCTGCCCAGAGTAGCTTGTTTCATGAGATGGGCAGCTATATAAATTAGACAAACCAACAAACCAACAAGCACATTCCATGTTCACTTTACCAGGCCAAGGAAGGTTGGAAAGTTCAATGCTAGGACTTATGAAGGGCTAGCTGGCCATGTTGTCTCTTATCAAGCTGTGTCTCAATAACAAAATACCCCTGAATATCTTAGACTGCAAGGCTGAATGTACCTTTCCTCAAAAGTACTCTCTGCACAAGAAGTGAGCTATCCTTTTATCCTGACATGCTAATTTTCTGTGCATAGTAACATTCGCTAAAGTGAACCTTAATTGGCAGTCTGACTGACAAAGTGCGGTCATGACCCTACTTTTGCACCCCATCTGCTGTTTGTGAGAATGAAGGACTAAGCGTCTGTTGCCGTGTGTGAATTAAACGTCTACCTCAGACTATACCGGTACTTCCCTGTAGCTGCATTGCAGAAGATCTGCAGTGGAGAGCAAGCTATTTTGAAAGGAAATTCATCAAACATAAATGATGACAACTCTCTGAATGACACAGACAGCTTATATCTGTATGAAAACACGGCGGCTGCCTAAATCCACCTGCAAACAAATCCGCCATTGTCCCTGCCCAGGTGTAAAATGAGGCCTGAGCAAGCTTCTTTTTCATTTTGTTTAGTAATAATTACTGCCTGCATTCATCGAAACAGATCCAATAGAAGAAGCTGGAAGAACTGCTTGTTCTTCCTACATTAACATAATTTTTGACATTCTTTTTCCAGAATGTGACAAAAAACTTACTCTGCCCATTTCTCGTAGCTTAGTAAGCATGACTACGATGGTTGAATTGTGCTCCCAAAGCATTCTCCAGAAATCTTCTGTTGTTTCTGCCAAAGGTCCCTGTGTAGCTACATAGGCTTTTTGTTGCCTAAATTTAAAATGCAAGAATTAATATTTATCCATCAAATGAAGGAAGGCTCTCTTGCTGCCTATAAACATTCTGGTGCAATATCATTCCAAGAAACATATGGCTGTAAATTATTGATTGTAAGAATATTAAAAGATATTAAATGTTATTTAATCCAACTATAGCATTCTTTTATTTTATGAAGTTTGTGTAAGAAATTGTTCTGTTAATATTGTGATTTATGCTTTTATCTTATTTAAATTTTAATGCAACTCTAATAGCTCAATTTTGTGTGTCGCAAAAAGCACTTAGGAAACACTTAGTGGTATAGTTCCATTTTTACACTGAAGGCTGACTGTCACACACTCTATTGAGCGTATGACTTATAGCTCCAAAGCAATTCTTTGTTAACTCTTTCCGTGATTCGAGAACCTCAGCAAAAGTCCTGAACGCAGGTCACAAAGATGGAAATGGGACAAGCTAGGTTATGCTTGGAAGATGGCTAAAACAAACGAGCACACTGTTTTCTCCGCAAGAGAATGTTATTACCCACCCCCCAACATCTGATCCACATATTCAATAGTTACATAATATCTTAGATAACCATCTACTGAATTTATTAAGTAATTTGCTTTCTGTTTTACACGCAACATTCTGGGACTGGGATCTGAGTAACATGAAACTTCCATAGATTATTATTTCAACTTACAATTACAGGAAAATCCATATGTTATGCTATGATTCTCAGAAGGAGACATGTGCTGGCAAAGCAAACAGCAATATGAGCTACTTCTATGTGGTTAGAGATCAGGCACTGCTGAAAGTTATCAGAAAGAACTATAGTACTGGACAGAGAATCTGAAGAGACCCAAAATGACACTTGCATAATGGCAAAGTATATTCATGATCACTAGCACATATGTAATTAATACAAAAACTAGTCCTTTACTAAGTACCTGTATCCATCGATAAAACTGGCATTGATATAATCAGAGCCTTCTACCCCTCTGATGGGTTGCAAACATATCCTTGTGGATTCATATGGCATAATATTAACAAGGCGATTTTTAAATTTATTACATGGAAGATTGGCACTGATAAATCTTGAAGTATGGGCTTTAGAGCTGGCTAGCCGCTGTAAAAAAGACAAAGAAGACTTTGGGATTGCTTTCAATAATAAAAAAATGGGACAGCATTTTTTTATAAATACATATTAGAACAGGTTCTATATGGTATCCCACCAGGTACGAGTTAGATCTTCTAGATAAATCTGTAAAAGCAAATACTTTCATCCTAAAACAGTTTGAAATCCAGCCTGTCCTTTTTCCCCAATGCAAAATGTAACACTATAAAAATGTGGAGAATGCTGTAGATGAAGTACCTTAAATTCCAATTCCATTCCTGTGACATTCTCTCCTGCTTCTATCTGTGTCAGCTTCTGAATATATGCATACAGGTTTCTGGCTGGCACTTCGGTATTTCCACATGTCACTGCTTCAAGCAGTGCATCATGGATAAAGATGTATTGGTCCTCCGTTTGAACCATGTAATTTCTCTGGGCTCTCATTAGAGTTACATGGCCATAAATATCTACAGTCTTTTCATGTTTTATTCTCTCTAGCATGGCATCTATTACAATGAAACAGCCGGTCCTGCCAACTCCAGCACTGGAATAAAAAAGAAAGAAACCAACTCAGAAATGCATATAAAGATTGAGAACATTTTAACTCAAGATACAGCTTGTCATACTGTCATGGCAACCACCACCACCACCACCAAGGCAGTTCAGCAGCAAAGGCTGCAATTTAAGGTCCCCTTTCCAGTTACTTCAGAAATGTGGAAAATGATTTCTCATTATAAGATGCTCATTCTTCCCAGTCCCGGTCAGGCATTTGCATGAGGGCCTGGAATTGTGTATGTGACTGACATTGTCCTGGATTCTACCTGCCCCCCAGTTCTCCCTGTTCTCTTGGCGAGGTCTGAAAACAACCATAACAATGGGACTCTTGACTGTATTTCCCATGATCATGGACCCTAATAAAGTCCTCACTGAAATGCAAGTACTGGTAGTCCTCATTTAGCAACTGCCTTGTTTAGCAGCCATTCATAGTTATGATGGTGATGAAAAATAACTTTGTGACCAGTCCTTGTATTTACGACCTTCACAGGTCTGTAAAGCAAAGGAAAGCTGAAGTAAGATCGTAAACACAGTCACAATTTCACTTAGCAACTGCTTTGCTTAACGACTGAGTTGCTGGTCCCAAGTATGGTTGCTAAATGAGGACTATTTGTACACTCTTCCCACTTTAACACTCTGAGATTGGGGATAGAAAGTAGTGGGGGCTGCTAGGTGGAATGTACAGATTTAGGATGGAACAACTCTCTGTATACACAGCCCCATCCTGAAATCAATTTTAGCTTCTAACATCTTTAGGCACACACCCTGAACAGGACACAAGATTTCAATAGTCATTTGAATTATCAGATGAATGAAACGCAATACAATCTTGTCATAGGGAAGCAGCTGCCAGGCTAGTCTTCAAATGGCAGTATGTCTGTCGGTCCTTCCCACATCACACTGAGAAATCATGAAATGAATCTTGGACTGTGATTTTTATAATGAATTTCCCAAGAACATATCAATGTTAGACAATTATATTTCATGCCTTGTAACTATATTGTGTACAATTATATTGTATGAGAGATGCAACCTGAATAATTTGTCCAGGCAGTGTACATTTTGCATTGTTTTAACTGCATGAACTATTTCTGTTTATTCCAACTCAATGTTACTGCAACAATATAATCATTCTTATTAGCCATCTTCTTGAACAGCTACTTAAAGTTTTAATGTTCGTTCCAGTCCTGGAACATATCTCAATGAAAATGCGGCTTAGAAATAAACTGATGTTATACAAAAATGTTTTAGGGAGAAAGTGCCAAACAGGATGCGTTCAGTGGGATACGAAAACTCTTCTGGTTCTGAAATAAAGTAATAGGGAAGAAATCACATTCTGTGGCCATCAGAATGTTTGGAAACTGCAGATCTTAACAAACACTAAAGATTCAGAGACTGAAAATGAAAGCTGCTGGGGACAGATTGGGGCAGTTTGCAGAATCAAAATTTAATAACTTGACAGTAAATTCCTGAGCAAATGCTTTATCCATTTACCCTCTAAAACATCTTTATTATCAAGATTTATAAGATTCTGTGCTGCAGCACCATATGAATGCCATAAACATTTGACTGTCTAACAGTATGATTGAAAGATCCTTACTGTGGGCTTTTTTCCCTGCATCTCACAGAAAAGCCTTGTTTAGCACTGGACCCTGTTCTGTTTTCTGTTTCATAGTGAGCATATTTTTCTTAATATCATGCATTACAGGTTTTATTACAATCTGATGTCCTAAATAAATATTAGAGAAATTCAAAGAAGAGATGCATACTACTGATAGTTTTCTATGCCACAATCATTATTATCAGTCACACTCAGAACTAGATTTCAAGAGCAAAACATCATATACTTGGCCTCCTGGACACTACAGAAACTTTTCAAAGATGCAGCTTCATGAAGCTCCTACCAACAGACTATGGAGAAAAACAATCAATGTGCTGAAGCTGGAATAATTATAGGATAAAGGGCTTTCTTTTATTCCCTGGAGAGCTGGTGCATATAAACAACAGCTTGCTTGCCTGGGATTTGATTTCTTTGGTATAAGAGGTGTGGGGGAAGGACCACATGATTCCTGAGATCCTTCATTCACTGTTGCAAGTTAGTTTCTCTGAGGATGACATTCTTATGAATCAGGAATATGATTCCATTACCAATTTTTCCCATTGAAAAATAGCCTGCTTAATAGGTACCATTAAAGCATATTTTTAAAAAATACAGTATAGATTTTTTATATCTGTTATCCATTTCCAGAAGCTAGAAATCTAACAAAATTAGTTTCTATTAATTACTCATTGGAGAATTTTTTCCAAAATATAAAAACAAATGCTCTAGATGCTTAGATTTCATCAGAAGTGGCATCAAACAATAATTATTGGTTATTAACTCAGCACTGAAGATGTTACCTAGCCGGGTAACAAAATGTTTA